TCTCCTTGAACCCCAGTCGTCCTCAGCAGATGGCCGCTCACACTGAGCCTGGTTCTGCTGGAGGTTTCTTCCTGTTAAAAGGGATTTTTTTTTTCTCTCCACTGTCGCTACAAGCATGCTTAGTGTGAGGGATTGCTAAAGAGTCAATGAGTCAATGCAATCAACGGGTTTTCCTTAGATAGAAAACTTTGAATCAATCTGACTGGATGATCTGGTGAACTGGAAAGTGACCTGAGATGACATGTGTTGTAAATTGGCCCTATAGAAATAAACTGAATAGAATTAAAACAGGAATTAGAGCAGCCAGTGAGTTCAAATAAAAGCAGGGTTTGAATTTGCGCCATGAAAGGACAGAAACATCTAGAGGATTCAAATTAAACTGCTTCCAGTTTAACGAAAGAGCCAACTCAGACTGTCTGATGAGTAAATGTGGGATAGAGTGCGTCAGCTCGGCTTTAATGCAGGATGTTTTGGGGCGTTTCCTCATTTTAACGTGTCTGTCAATCATCAGAGAGTCAGACTGAAGGAAGTAATCTGATGATTTTCAAACAGCAGATCTGATAAACCCTGACAGGCTTCTGACTTTCCCATCTGGCACAAAGCGGGCAGGGAGTAGCTATCCTGACCCAATGACAGGTGGGTAAAGGCTAAAAAGTAAAGGATGAGTTTTTTTTACATCTGAATTTAAATGCTGGAGCCTGAAAAACAGATTTTGTTTGTTTTTTAAAAGGTAGCATGGGGCATGCAAATGTTAACTTTTAGCTGAAGCTCTTAGGTGCAGCTGAACACTTTAAGGTCGACGTTGGGGCGACAGTGGCGTCGGATGCAGGAGTTTGCCCTTCAACCAGAGAGTTGTTGGTCTAAGCCCAGACTCCAGTTTGTTGTTGTCTCTGGGCAAGACACTTCCCCTGCATTGCCTACTGACTGTGGTCAGAGGGGCGGACAGCACCAGTGTCCAACTTTCATTCCTCTGATGAGTTTAGCTTCTCTGATTGACTCACTTGGACTTAAACATCACATCCTTGTGGGATTTAAAATCTACATAAAATATTCAGTTGCTGCCTGATTGCATTCAGCAGAGAGCTTAAACAGAAGGCAGCTGAGAGGAAACATGTGAACGGATGAGGAAGGGTCACCAGAACCAGGATGAAAAACTAAACAAAAACAGCCACATAAATGGATCTAGGAAGCTGGAAGCTACGTCAGTGATAAAAACAGATCAGTTTCTGTCTGAGAATCAGTTTGAACATTTTGATGCTGTTGATCAAATTTGCTTTAGGAAGAAAACAATCAGCAGAGAGACAAGATGATTTGGAAGGATTGGTTGGTTGGATGGATGGAGAATGGATGAATGGATGGACGGAGGATGAATGGATGGATGTTAGATGATGAATAATTGATGGATTAATGATGGATGGATGGATGAACGGATGGATGGATTGATGTTGGATGGATGAATAATTGATGGAGGGATGAATGGTTGGATGGATGGAAGATGGATGGATGTTGGATGGGTGGAGGATGGATGGATGGATGGATGAACGGAGGATGGATGGTTGAATGGATGGATGGATTGATGTTGGATGGATGAATAATTGATGGAGGGATGAATGGTTGGATGGATGGATGTTGGATGGATGGATGGATGAACGGAGGTTTGATGTTGAATGGATGAATAATTGATGGATGGATGGATGGATGGATGGATGAACGGAGGTTTGATGTTGAATGGATGAATAATTGATGGATGGATGGATGTTGGATGCATGTTTTCCTTTTATTGAACATTAATTCTAACTCTGATCTTTTCCGTTTTTAAATCGTTCCTGAACCTCCTGGATTTTCAGATTTCCCTCTAACATTGAACCAAGTTTGGACCCGAATTTTTCCAGAACAATAAAATCTTAAAGTTCTGGTAAATCTGTTGTTCAGGGATGGAGGATCTGAGCTTCACAGCCTGAAGCTTTAGAAACGTTCAAACCTTCTCGGTGGCACACAGATGAGATCCTAATCCATGTTGGACCTTTGGACCCGCCTCATCATGGAGACGAGTTAAACGTGTTCCAACCTGCAGATCCTACCTGTTCTGAAGGGGATGCTTGATGTAGGCCTCTGGGCTCACAACCTCCTTTCCAGTCTCCTGGGCTCCATCTTGGTCAGCGTGGGGAGGACTCGGGTTGCTTTCCTGAACAAAACACACGGAGAAGCAGAGAAGGAATGAAGCCATCTACAGAAATGGTTTCAGACACTTTTAGATGGTCCAGACCGAGTGAAACCAAGTACTAGTCTGTTCCGGTCGCCTTAAATAAACCTGCTAAACCGCGCCTTAAAATAAACATTATTAAAGTTTTCCAAAGCCTTAGAAATCTAGAGGAATAATAAAACAAAAACAAATCAATAATCAAACCGTCTTTAGTAAAAACTAATGTCAGACAGAGAACCACCAGTTTAGTTATAAGTTTCCTTTGGGCTCTGAGGTAAAGACAGATCTATGAGGCTTTAGTGAAGAGAAAAGAATAAATAAATGCAACTTTTTTTGGATGTTTATCTTCTAATAATTTTAGCAGTAACTGTTATAGTGGCCGCTAACAAATACGTGGACCAACAAATTGAATGATGCCATAGTGGCCGTCTTTAAAACTTTTAAAAAACTTTATTCTCATAATTTTACGACCTTAATTATGTAATATTACGACTTTATTCTTATAATATTACGACTTTTTTCTAATAATTTTATGACTTTATTTCCATAACATTACAACTTTATTCTCGTAATATTACAACTTTATTCTC